AAAACATGAATATAAAAAAGTGAAATGGGACAGGTGCAGTGGCACATACCTATAATCCCAGTGATCTGGGAGGCTAAGGAAGGAGGAGCACAAGTTCAAGACCCGCCTCAGCAACTCAGTGAGGTCTTAAGTAACTTAGCAAGACTTTGTCTCTAAATAAAATATAAAAAAGGACTAGGGGGGTCTGGGGATATAGCTCAGTTGGTAGAGTGCTTGCCTTGTATGCACAAGGCCCTGGGTTCAATCCCCAGCACCATACACACACACACACACAAAAAAAAAAAAAAAAAAAAAAACTAGGGATGTGGCTCGGTGGTAAAGCCCCTCTGGGTTCAACCCCTGGTGTGTATACATACACACACACACACACAGGAAAAAAAAACAACAAAAAACTTAAATTTAAAATGATGACAAAATACATGTAACGTAAAATTTACTATCTGAACTACTTTTAAGTATACAGTAGTATTAAGTATAATTCACATTGTGGTATACCTAAGAGCAGAAATACTTTCTTCTCTAGTACATACAGAATATTCACCAGGACAGACCATATTTTATCCCTTAACACTCAGATCTCAAGCATTTTGAAAGTATTATAATCAGACAAAGTATATTCTGATTACACACACATTTCCAGGAATCTAAAACAATAACCCTCTAATCAGATGGATTCAGGATAAGAAAGAAGAAATACCAATGCTAGACCTGATTTCCAGGGATGGGTGCGGGGCTGAGGGTGAATTAACCACCAACAGCCAATGATGTAACCAGTCATGTCCATTCAATACTACACTGGAGTCTGCCTGATGCATTAGGGTAAGAAAAAAGAAGAGGTCTCTGGATAGGAAAGGAAGAAATAAGACTGTCTTCAGTAACAGAAGACGTGACTGTACATGTTCTGCATGATACTGGTGCAGGGATGGGCACAGAACAATGGAGTACCCACAACACGAATGTTCAACCCATTTCAACAAATGTGCCAAGGTAATTCAATGGGGAAAGGACAGTCTTCAATACAGGGTTCTGGAACACTTGAACATTAATATGCAAAAAGGAAACTCCTTACATTTTACTAGATAGAAAAATTCACACAAAATAGGTCAAAGCCCTTAAAGTCAGAGCTAAACCTACAAAAATTCCAGAAGAAAACAAAAATCCTTTGACCTTGAATTGGAGAAAGATTTCTTAGATACAACATTCAAAACATAATCCACTAAAAAACTGATGTATTAAACTTTTTAAAATTGATTAATTTTTTATATCTTTGTATATAAAGTATGTTCACGCCAATTCATGTCTTTATACATGTACTTTTTTGCATTACAATTCTTATTACACATATATACCACAATTTTTCATATCTCTCTTTGTATATAAAGGATGTTGACACCCAATTTGTGTCTACATACATGTACTTTGGATAATGATGTCCATCACATTCCACTATCCTTGCTAATCCCCTGCCCCCTCCCTTTCCCTCCCACCCCTCTTCCTAAACTCCACCAGAAAACTTCTAGAACTAGTAAATGAATTCAGCAAAGTAGCAGGATATAAAATCAACACCCATAAATCAAAGGCATTTTTGTATATCAGTGATAAATCCTCTGAGAAGGAAATGAGGAAAACTACCCCATTCACAAAAACCTCAAAAAAAAAAAAAAAAGATACTTGGGAATCAACATAAGAGGTGAAAGATCTATAAATCAAAGAAGACCTTAGAAGATGAAAAGATCTACCTTGCTCTTGGATAGGCAGAATTAATATTATCAAAATGACCATACTACCAAAAGCACTAAGCAGATTTAATACAATTCCAATCAAAATCCCATTGACATTCCTCATAGAAATAGCAATCATGAAATTCATCTGGAAAAATAAGAGACCCAGAATAGCTAAAGCAATCCGTAGCAGGAAGAGCGAAGCAGGTGGCATCACTATACCAGATTTTAAAGTATAATACAGATTTACAGAAGACAAAACAGCATGGTATTGGCACCAAAACAGACTGGTAGACAAATGGTACAGAATAGAGGACACAGAGTCTAACCCACAAAACTACAATTATCTTATATTAGACAAAGGTGACAAAAACATGCACTGGAGAAAAGATAGCATCTTCAACAAATGGTGCTGGGAAAACTGGAAATCCATATGCAACAAAACCCCTATCTCTCACCATGCACAAAACTTAATTCAAAATGGATCAAGGACCTAGGAATTAAACCAGAGACTCTGTGTCTAATAGAAGAAAAAGTAGGCCCTAATCTTCCTCATGTGGGATTAGGCCCCATTTCCTTAACAAGACTTCTACAGAGCAAGAATTAAAACCAAGAATCAATAAATGGGATGAAATCAAACTAAAAGAGTTTCTTCTCAGCAAAATAAACAATCTGTGAGGTGAACAGAGAGCCTACATCCTGGGAGCAAACTTTTACCCCTCACACATCAGATAGAGCACTAATCTCTAGGGTATATAAAGAACTCAAAAAGCTAAGCACAAAAAAGACAAATAATCCAATCAACAAATGGGCCAAGGATCTGAACAGACACTTCTCAGAAGAGGATATACAATCAATCAACAAATGATATATTAAACTTTATCAAGATTAAAACTTCTGCTCTGTGAAAGACAGGTTAAGAGAATGAAAAGAAAGACAAGAAAATACCTGCAAATCACTTGTCTTACAAAGGGCTACTATTCAAAATATTTAAAACCCTTAGAATTCAATAAGACAAACACCCAACCCAACTAAAAATCAGCAAGAGATAGAAAAGACAGTTCCATAAAGAAAATAATAACATGAAAAGATCCTTAATATTTTCAGTCAGTAGTAAGATGCAAATTTAAACCACAGTGAGATAATCACTATAAACTCACTAGAATAGTGAAAGGCAAAAACACTGAGTACAAAGACGCAGGGACACTGGAACACTCTTTCATAGCTGGTGGGAGAACAAAGCATTGAAATCACTTTGGAAAACAGTTGGGCAGTTTCTTATCAGTCATACATTTAACATAGGAACCAGCCATCACACTCCTAGGAATTTCCTTAAAAAATACATTTTACACAAAGACCTGTACTATTATATTTATAGTGGCTTTATGATTGCCCCAAATTATAATTAACCTGCATGTCTTTTGTCCTTTCAGTAGACAGACTGTGTGACAGTCACATAATGAAATACTACTCAGCCATAAAAGAGAACAAACAAGGAACACACAGCACATGTTTGAATTAGCAATGCATTATACTAAAAGAAAGAAGCTAACTCAAAATGTTACATACTATATGAACACTACAGGGACAGGAAATAGATCAGTGGTTGCCAGGGACTGGAGGCAGGGGAGGGATAAACCACAAAGGGGCCTGGAGAACTTAACTGTTGTGGTAATTATATAAAGTATGCATTTATCAATGGAACTAGTTATGGAACTACACTAAAGGGTGAATTTTACTGTATATAAATTAAAATTCAGTAAACCTTACTTTTAATAAAATTGATACATCCATGCAATTGTAGATTATATAATCATTTAAAAATGGTATGAAGGGGGCTGCAGTGTAGCTCAAGGGTAGAGCATGTGCTTTGCATGTGCAAGGCCCTGGGTTTGATTCCTAGCACCAAAAATAAAAAAAGAAAAATAAAGAAAGAGAGATGGAGCCACACATGCTCTCTGGAGCATGTATGGCTAATTATCCATTAGCCATAAGATAATCTCTATCATATTTTTAGCAGTAAAAATCAAGGTACAGAAAAATAAATCCAGTATGTTCCCAATTATGTTAATACTGGCTGTGTCTGGGGAAGGGGTCTGGAGGGACAGTATAGATCCTTTGGTATTATTTGAGTTTTCTTCCCACATGCTTGTATTACTTTCAATTAGGAAAAATAGAAGAAATCTATTTACAGGTTAAGGAAAACTCACAGGTATCTGGGCCAGGGGACACAGTTATAAAAGCTTCCAAAAGTACAGAATATAGAACACAATGCCAGACACTTCAGAGGTGCTCAATAAATAGCTGGAGAAAACAGAGTATTTGGAGTCAATTCGGAAGGTAGATCCCAAGCAGAGTACTTGGCAGTACAGCATCTGCTTTATACCAGGAGCTAAGCTGGAATTGCTCAAACTGGACAAGAGAGGGAACGTACAAGAGAGGGTATACTGGACTTACTTTGGGGCAGCACTTGCTCAGCATTCCCTTGCAAGCACACTGTGTGCGCTAACCCCACCCTTCAAAGAATGGGAGGCAAGGTAGTACCTCCTCCAGTGAGCGGAGTCACTCCCAGGACTCCTCTGGTGGTCTAAATGCTACATCTCAATGCCTGGAGGGTCCTGAGGAGCCGCCCCCCCCATGAGCTCCCACCACTTTCTGAAGGAACTAAATGACCGTGACAGTCTCAAGGCACTCTGGACAAGACAAGACAATCCTAGCTTTTACAGTCCCTTTTCCATGCCAAGGCCTTCAGGAAAGAAAGAAGGTTGGAATGTAAGCAAGGCCCGATAGTGGCATTTGGTACAAGAAACTCCCTGGATGAGGCACAGATTCCTTCAGGAAGCCCAATATCAAGGAAATTAGAAGCTCCAGAATGCAAATGGACCAAGAGGGAAGGTGTCCAAAACTTGGACATTCTCAGAAATTAACTTTGTTCCCTGCTTTATTTGGCCAGCTAGTGGGTCCCAGCTTTGGCCACTGATACTAAGAGTAAGCATGTGTCTTCATTCGGCAGCACTGCCTGGCTGCTCGGGATGCCTGGCTTCTGTGGGTGACCATGTAGGTTCCGTCCCCTCCCTCCTCTCCCTGAAACAGGCTGCACTGCTGAGTGCAGAGTGGGGTGAGGCACAGCAAGGCACAGAGTGGGGTTCAGTCCTTTCCAGACACTGGAGACTACTGGACACGCGAGAGAAGTGAGAGCAGCATCTTGTTTTCTTTGGAGAACATGAGCTACTGTGTGGGGACAGGCTGTCTAGGCAGCAGAAGAAAGAGAGCACTTACCGGGGGAAGATGGCGGTCATCAGGGCTGAAGCATAGCCCGGTTTGCAGGCTCCCTCTGAAAAGTTGGCGTACTTGGTGGCTAACTCAGCAGGCCTGTAGGGAGAGGAGGAAAGTCACTGCCTGCCAGGCACTGAAGAGTCACTGGGTTATTAACTCATGAAGAGCTGCAGGGGCTAAACCTTGAATAAAGCTTTCTTCCCTACAATCGGCACTTCAGGCCCTTTTCCACCCTAAGGCTTCAGTGGTGGAAAAACCCCAAATCCCTAAGGGAACAGATGGATCAATAACCAAGGTCTCTTGATGGAATCTGTAGAAGGAACATACTTGGTTCCACACAGATTCTTTGTAATAAGCCTGATACCAAGGAAATGAGAACCTTCTCCAGGCTCCAAGATTGGGGGTGAAGGGCTGCTCATACTTCCACAGCCAGAGATGCTGCCCTTCTCACTTTCCTGATATGTCCCCACATGTCCAGCTTCCTCTGCTTTTACCCTGTGCACCACACTACGATACCCCCAGTGGTATCAGTGGTTACCCACAGTAGCCTGGATATAGACACAATAAATGTGTGTTATTGGGCTACTGATCTAACCCCTGACCAACTTCTAGTAATGGGTGGTCTTCTGTTCTCTGCCTGGAATTATTCCTTGTCCTTTTCCTCCTGGTGTGTTCTGGCTGTACTCAGGTATTCCCTGACCCGCTGAGTGGGCCAGGCGCTTCTCCACATCACACACTCACCTCCACCTGCACGGCCATAGGGAGGGCACCCCTCCCTCACCATACTGTAAATCCCTGGGACCAGAGTCTGACTTAACATCCCTCTCCCCAACACTGTGCATAGAGACATAGAGAAGATTCCCGTAACTATCTGAGGAACTGTCTGAGGAAATGGCCCTGACAGACCCTGCACTCCAAACTGCAGGCCAAGTCATCTCAGGAAGCCATAAGCTACAGACAGTGGAATACTTTTCAGAAGACTGTGTTCCAGCGCTGGCCTTGCTGCTATGTGACTACAGCCGTGCCACCCAACACCACTGGATTTCAATGTCCTTATGTGTTCAATGGGGCTTTAGTCTAGCCTTATGGGCTAGAGTCACCACCCTCCGCCAAGGCTTGGCCCTACAATCTAGAGACCACCAGGACATCTTCAGTGAAAGGGCTCAGTGACTGCTAGGGTTAGAGGTCCTTTCTGCTGGGGCACCTGAGTGAGCCTGGCTGGCTGCCAGTTTTGAGTCCTACTCCCATCCGCCCCCACCCTTGGGCCCTCTGCCAACTCTCTGGTGCCCAGCTACTCTGTTTGGCTGAACTTGATGGCAAGCTGACCTTCAGCACTGCACCCTGCAGGGATTGAAGGGTGGGTGTCAGGGGTGGTACTTGTCTTGGACAGCCAGAAATTTGATGCTACTGCCTGTGGAGTGTCACATCTGATTCACTCCTGGGGGGCTAGTCCAGGGCCCTACATAAGCAATTGCTCATTGAATAGAGACAAACTCATCTGCATCCATGTCATTTTTTTAGAAATCTACTTTTTAAAATTTATTTTTAGTTGTAGAACAAATATCTTTATTTTATTTATTTATTTTTATGTGGTGCTAAGGATCAAACCTAATGCTTCAAAGTGCTAAGCAACCGCTCTACCACTGAGCTACAACTCCAACCCCTAGAAATCTACATTTTTAAGCCTTCACTAACATTCAAAGCCTGAAATGCAAATGCAAATGTTGAGTGACAACCTGGGACTTTATTTGATAGGCAAAAGAAAAAGACAGTCAAAAGTTTTAACAGGAGAGAAACAGTATTTTCTTATGTAAACAACTGTGCTTTGGAAATGAAATATAACCTCAGTGCAATTACTGAATTTACTGGAAGCTTCTGCGACCAGGCAGTGACTATAACATTCTAGATTGCTTAAGTGGATGCTATGCATTATTAATTTACATGAGTTTCAGAAAGATAAAGGACCTTACCAAGATCATGCCCCTTCATGGGAGGGGAAAGTTGCATGTGCACCAGCTCCTCTTTAGCACCAGTGCAGAAGTTACTCACGTGACATTACCAGCAGTGTGATCACAGGGGATGGAACAGTGCCCAGTGCTAGCACAGGAGCAGTTGGCATGGCCAGAGATGAGTAGAGAAGAGGGTCAAGAAAGCCTCACCCAGCTCTTTGGAAGTATGTACATAAGGGTGTGGCACTTTGAATCTCTTTATGCCCCGTCTCCTCACCCCCCACTGTTTACTTGTTCACCTTTGTACTAAGTTCCTGTGGTCTTTCTGAATTCCAGAAAGTTTCACAAATTGGGGCTGGGGATGTGGCTCAAGCGGTAGCGCGCTCGCCTAGCATGCGTGCGGCCCGGGTTCGATCCTCAGCAGCACCACATACCAACAAAGATGTTGTGTCCGCCAAGAACTAAGAAAAAATAAATAAATGTTAAAATTCTAAAAAAAAAAAAAAAAAAAAGAAAGTTTACAAAGAAGTTGGAAGATGGATGGCAGCTGCCCTTCCTAACAGTAGAACTACATGCACAACACAAAAACCTTTGGCTATAACTTCCTTTTCTGTAGTGTGCACCTCAGCTCTTGCAAGATGCTTGAAGAAAGGCTGTAGGACAGCTCAAGGCTTCTAGGATCAGGTTACCCAAGATGGAGAGGAGAGAATGCTGGCCAGCTGGGGCTTGGGAAGCCTGAACCCAGCAGGGCAAGCGGCGTATTACTCTTCCCATGGCAGTGCAAGGCCATGGAACAGGGACGGTAAGTGCTAATCAACCCCTCCTCCTTTAAAAAGCATCTCTGGGCACACTGGGCCATGTCAATTATTACCAAATTAAAATGCCTCAGAAATGGCCTCCTGACTGTCCCAGTGAGAGAAGAATAGGGGGAGTGTTGGGGATTCTGAGTCATACAGCAGTCTGGGACCTCTGGGGCAGTCAGCGGTCAAAACCACCAAGATTAATGGTCGCCAACTCCCTCAGGCCAGAATAGTTAAGTTTCTCTAAGGCACTCACACTCCAAATGCCAGGAGGCCCCACAGATGTCTGATCAGATCATTTGGCCCTTGTTCTTCCCCTACTCTGCAGCTGGCCTTTCATTTTGGGAGATTTAGCATTTCAATCAGTAAGAGCACCCATTGTGTTGCCAACGTGACTACCAAGCCCTGGGGGTGAAGAGTGTAAACCACACACTCTCAAGAGGAAATCCAGATGGTAAGACTGGAACCCAACTTCCACTATCCCACCTCGATCAGAAGGGCTGAATTTGAGGATTCAGGCCAAACAATAGGTTGTAAATGGAAAGAATGTCAGATCTGGAATTGGAATCTTTCACAGAGGACACTGAAAACCTGTGACACCTTGGGCAAGCGATGGAAAATCTGATTCTCAACTTCCTCATGTGCAATGGGCACCACACACATGATTTCTAGGCTCTGGCGAGGATGAAGTGAGAAAGCATGTTTGGAAGGCTAGCCATGCTCCAAAGCACCATGAGTGCTATGTCAAAGAGGAGGTGGCAGACACAGGTAGCCACAACAGGGAGGCTCTGAGCACTTCACATCTGGATTCAATCATAGGCGGCATGGGTGCCCTGACCAATGTGCATCTGAAGGATCAACACTGGGGAAATGACAAGTACCGCTGCAGGAGGCAGAAGAAGCTGTTGATGGGAAGGAAGGAAATAACCAGGACAGAGTGCGATAAGCCAAGGGATGGGTGTGTCTGGACAAAGACACAGGGTCCAATCCTGTCAAACATGGTGGCAGGCCTGGTAAGGTGTGGCTACATAGGGACTGCTGCTGACCTTGATGAGAGCGTATGGGAGTGAAACTCTGATTCTATTGGATTTAAGAGAAAACAGGACAGAAACTGGGAGTCATAAAATACAGATTATTTTTAGGAATTTTTCTATAAAGGGAAACAGAAAAATGTGGCAATAGCCAGAGGGGGCAGCAGGGCAAAGATAGGATTTTTTGAGGTTTTGAAATATTTTAGCATATTTATAAGCTACTTAGAATAAGAAAAACTCTGTGCAGTAGAGATGGGACAGTTGCAGAGGGAATGTCCTGGGGAAGGTGGGAAAGAAAAGAATCTAGCACAAAAGTTCAAGCACCATGTCCTTTAGGAACACTCCATGATGCTCCTCCCCCCAAATAGCACCAATCCACCCCACCTGTGGATTCCAAGCGACCTAGCACTGACTTTCACCCCAGCTTGCTCGGGCCCTTTCTCTCCCACCTTCTTCCTTTCCTTCCTTGCATTCATTCATTTAACAAATATCCTTAGGCAATGAAGTCCCTGGGCTTGGGTTTTTATCCTGGCTCTATAGCTGTGTGTCTTGGGACAGGCCATTGAACTGCTCTGAGCACTCATTTTCCACCTCTTTAAAACTGGGATTATGCTACTGCTTACTTCACAAAATTGTTGGGAAAATAATGTTGACCTTAAAGTGCTGACACCTAGTACAATGCTGGCATCCAGTCATCACTCAACACACACTAACTGCAACAGTCCTGGGATGTGCCAGGCGTGGCCTTGGAGCTAGGGATACAACAGGGATCAGGATTTGGTTATGGCTGAGCACGCCACACACTGAAGAGTCACTGCTATTTTTTGGTGGTACCGGGGAATGAACCCAGAGTTGCTCTACCACCGAGCTATGTCCCTAGACCTTTTTTGTTTTTGTTTTTTGAGACAGGGTCTCACTAAGTTGCTGAGGCTGGCCTTGAAACTGAGATGCTCCTGCTGTAGCCTCCCAAGTTGCTGAGATTACAGGCATGTGCCACCATGCCAGGCAAATGGTGAGTGATGATCCATATCTTTTTGTTCTAGATTATATAGATTTAGTATAGCATACATGGCACAGAGTATAGAAGTACCACACAAAATGTTGGTAAAACTCATTTGGTCACCTTGATTTGACAGGTTCATTAACTGGCTTTTTTTTGCACTGTCATCCTCCATCCACACTGGGGTGTGCCAATCCACTCTGACACCACTGGCCATTTGTTCTATGTGGCCTCCAGTGTAGACCTGGGTTTCTAAACAATTCTTACCCTACGCCCAGCCACCTGTGATAAACTCTGAAGCACTGTCAAATATCTT